ATTAATCAAGGCAATAAGGTGTCATAACACCAAAAGCCTATTGGCTACAAAGGGGCCAAGGGTTGCCTAGGTGAAACAAAGCTGTCACTCGTAAAAAGGAAGCATGGAGTTCAGACCCAAATGAACGCAGGGTGGCCAGGATTGGCTACTGGTTGCTATGACCTCAGCTTTCAAGACCAAACATTGTTAACACCCTCTGAGGCAGAACCATCCCACCTAGCAACAATAATGGCGGGAAACTGCAGGAAGGGCAAAGCGGGCGCTAGGCTGAACATAGCCCTCAAATGCCACAGCTCCAAAACACGCCGAAGAAAGCCGTTGAGGGAAGCTGCTAGGTCACTCACAAAAGGGCGCGCAGCTTGCAAAACTACCAACAGCCGAAATCGCCAGGAGCCTAAGGAGCTCACTGAGGCAATTTAAAATGGCGCGTGGCTTGAATTTTGCCGCCAATGCCATAACGGTTGAGAGCAAAAGCCATAGAGGGAGGCTGTCAATCAAACGGCAAAGGCGCGCTCGGCTCCGCTTTAGCCGCCATTTTAGCGTTGCCGACAGACAATAAAGGATCGGCTTGCTCATTTTAAACTCCCAGCGGTTTGTAATTTAAGGATTCAATTAGGGGGGTTTGCGGAAGCGATGTAGGGACCCCCGGCCGCCACTGAAAGCGTTGGAGCGGTGTGGGAGGCAAAGGGGGGGAATCCGGCTATCCAGACCCCCACGCAGCGCCCGGCGGCAGGCCAATCACTCGGAGTTGCCCTAAGGTAGAGCTCCGAGGAATCTGTTACATAGGAAAAAGAGCGGAGAGGAGTCCCCTGGATGGAGCCCCAGGCTAACTCACCCGCCGCAGTAACAACAGGGCCGTCAGCTGTCACAATAATTCCACACCGCTCAGAAGAACTTCTCAGAATAATAATAGATGGAAAATCCAAATATTGAAATAGTTCATCAGCCAAATTGCTAGAGCCAAGGAAAAACCCAGGCTCTCACTTGACTGAGTGAATGAACTGGGGCTTAGCCAGGCAAAGGAGGAGTGGCCAAGGATGTTTCTTAAAGAAACAGTCACCCAGTCCAGCAATGAAGCTGAGGAACCTACCCATTATTTGGATTCTCCAGGCAGCGCGCTGGAGAACCACCAATTTGTTGGTTGCCATAACATTTTATGCAAATGAATTACAATGAATCAAGCAAATGAATGTAACTATCCAAATCTAATCAAACAATAATAAAGGAGATTTTGAAATTTGATCTTACCTAACTGGAGGAAACCATTTTGTTATTCATTTTCAATGTGTCATCCATATTACTTTCCTGATTCGGAAATTTCATTGCAAGATCTGGTATTTAATTATAATAACATACTTTGTATCAAATTCAAGTTCCTCTAACAATTAATATTGTCTTCAAACACTTTTACCAGCTTTATCGGCATGGTGACAGATCTCCTCTTTCAAATTTTCCCAAAAATACAGTCAAAGATGATGCCTGGCCACGGGGATATGGACAACTGACTAAGGTTTGATAGATATTCTTAAAACATATTCATTAACCCAAGTGCAGTATTATATATTTTAATTTCATTTTCCATAGCTTCCTTTGTCCAAGGCTATGCTCAAATATTCAACATTTATTGACTTAGAGAAATATCTCATCCAAAATGCACAGCATAACTTTTTTAGGATTTAATGGATGTTTTAATTTAGTGGCAGGTCAAAAAGTTTATTGACTGTTTCAAGATATTTAACTGCATATTATATTATTCCTAACACAGACTGGAATACAACAGGCATATAACCTTGGGAAGTGGTTAAAAGATAGATATAACAACTTCTTAAGTCCTTCATACAATCCAAAAGAGGTAAGACTGGGAAATAAACTTCTTTATTTCTTATATATCCAGTAATAACACTTTATTTGGAATGAACTGAAGGTCAGTTAGCTTACCATATACAAAGCTGAAATAGGCTGCATTTGATAGATGGAATGTTCAACATCAGTCTAACAGTTCTATATATGTCTGAAATTGTAATTCCCAAGAGATGCAGACATTTTTCCTGTGACGAGGTTGTTTCTTATTTCTTGTCACTCCTTTCCTATTCCAATGGTAGTTATTCTGATGACAAAAAAGAAGAAAGAAGCTCAATGAACCATCTACAGTCATTCCTTTTCTTACCCTTGCTCTGTATCTTTCTCCCCATCTCTCCATTTTATTTCAAGAAACATTAGAAAATTTTCTTGAAATTTCCTGGCATAGAAAGAGAGGGAGGGAGAGAGAGAGAAAGAGATGGAGATGGAGATGCATTTTCATCACTCTCCCAATTGCTTGTTTTTTTTCATTGTTTGTAACAAAGAATGTATGGGAATCAGATGTTTGAGCTTTCATTTGAGGTTATCAACCATGCAGTGGTGGGATTCAATTTTTTTAACAACAGGTTCTGTGGGCGTGGCTTAGTTGGGGTGTGGCTTGGCAATCATGTGACTGGATGGGCATGGCTAGCTGGTCACGTGACTGTGTAGGCGTGGCTAGCTCGTCATGTGACCGGGTGGGCATGGCTATGTGCATAGGGACTACTCAGAGGGCTGAAAAAAGTCATTTCTGACTGGGCCTCGCACTTTTGACCGGTCCTCACACTTATGACCATCCTCACATTTATGCCCATGCAGCTTTCTTAACAACCATGTCACTCATTTCACAACTGCTTCTCTTCACCATGGTGACAAGATAGGGCAAAAACGTAAAATGTGAGGACAGGCGTAAATTCGAGAACTAGTCAAAAGTGCGAGGACCACTCAAAAATAACTTTTTCAGCCCTCTGAGTAGTCCATATGCACAAAAGGACTACCCAGAGGGCTGAAAAAAGTGATTTCTGACAGGTCCTCGCACTTTTGACCGGTCTTCGCACTTATGACTGGTCATCATTTATGCCCATTGTAGCATTCTTAACAACCATGTCACTCATTTCACAACTGCTTCTCTTCACCATGGTGACAAGATAGGGCAAAAACATAAAATGTGAGGACAGTCGTAAGTTCGAGGACTGGTCAAAAGTGTGAGGACCAGTCAGAAATAACTTTTTCAGCCCTCTGAGTAGTCCATATGCATAGAGAGGGATGAAGGAAGGAAAGGGAAATTAGAGTAGGAGGGAGGGAGGAAGAGAGGAGGAGAAGGAGAAGGAGAAAGGAAAGAGGAAGTAGGGAGGAGAAGAAGAGGGGGAGGAAGAAAAAGTAAGAAGGAAAGAAAAGAGAGAGGTGGTAGGTTTGAGGAGAAAGATTGCTGTACAATAAAAAAGATGAAAGGGAAGAAAGCCAACCCCAAACAAATATAAAGATATTAAGATAAAGAATGAATTGTTAAACTTTAAAGAATAAAAGAGAACAAATATGAATAAATAGCAATAATTAGAAACACACATACAAACATACAATGTATTTTCTTTGAACAGAGTATTTGGCTGGTTCACAAATTTAAACAGTGTTTAGTCATTTCAATTAAATTTACAATTTCTATATTTCCTTTTTGCCATATTTATTCCTCATCTATTTTTGTAAAAAACCAATATTACCCTTCATCCTCATCTGTAATCTTAATCAAATTCAATTTTTCCCTTCTATTCTATATTATACCCCTTCCCATTGTCATCTATTTTTATATCCATCCTCACATTGGTTAATTATGTAATATTAGTTGTTTAATATAAATTCAACATTTTAATATAAATCAATTAGTTATATAACTACCTTTTTTGTATATTAATCAATATGAACATGAATATTCCAATTATTTCCATGCAATCCAATTTCTTACAAATCAATTAATTATATTTACCAATAATAATAAACCAAATAATTTCCCCCATATATTCCTCCAAACCACAACTTAACCATTTCTGCTTTCAGAAATATACAATTAATAGTATCTCAATTATTACAATTCCCTAGTTAAATAGAGCTTTTTTTCTTTTGTGTTTTAAAATCTTGAACTCTCCTCTTTTTCCCTAAATTTCCCATTGTTTGCACCTACCTTTTTTGATGAGGAAAAAGGCAAAGGCAAACATTTCTTCATTCAAAATTTATTACACAGTCTTTTTACTGGAATTGATATTATTCACACTAGCAATATACATGTCCACATATGATGGCGGGCCATGAATCATATTAAACAAGGAGATAAGCAAATGCAAACATAATTTTTAAAAGCAAGGTTCACATGATGTGGAAGTTACAAAGAAGATCAGGTTAGGCAACTCTATTTTTTTTTTTTTCTAGATTTATGTTCAAAGTACAGATTATGATCGAACCATAATGACTGCTGAAGGAGTCCTGGCTGGTCTCTTTCCTCCTACAGCCAAAGAAGCGTGGAACCCAGACATTCACTGGCAACCTATTCCAGTTCATACTGTGCCCCTTTCAGAGGAAAAGGCAAGGAAGCATGTTATATTTTAACACTCTATTTTTATTGGTACCTTGTACCCTGTGATGCAGAGTAGGATATGATGGCTGAAAATGTGAGTTCCAATACCTGTGAGTTGATGCCATTTCAGATTGCAAGAAAGGTAAAGATCCTTGAATATTCCTATATATAGAAAATTAGAATGCTGGAAGGAAAGGTAGCTTTGTCTCTTACCAGAGGAGGCAATTATGGAATTGCTCATGGAACAGCTTCCTCTGGAGATTTGTACTACCTTAATCCTGTTGAGTTTTTGGAAGGTTTTAAAACCTGTCTTTTTCCTAAGGGTTTGGAGGACAATTCACCTGACTCGCACCACACATCTTGCTGCAGCTGTCACTATGGGACAACTCACTACAGCCAATTTGCTACAGGACTATTTGTCATGAGACAACTCAATGTGGGATAACTCAAGAGAAGGACAAGTGAATTCAGGGGCTTTGTCTTGCTTTAAATTTGAGCCTTCTCAATTTAGAAGTCCTTGAGGCTGAATGCAATTCACTTGTCCCTCTCTTGAGTTATTTAATTGTCCTGCAGTGAGTTGTTTCATGGTGAGTTGTGACAAGACAGCCATGACAAGCCATGGGGTGAGTTAGCTGCAGTGAATTGTCTTATTCTGGTTTTGGGATGTTAACAGAGCTCAGTCTGCATTTAGTCTGCATTTATTAAAGAGTTATTATTCTGGTATCTCTATTGTTTTTATCATTTTAAAAAATATTTATTTTTATATGTAATTTTATCTCATTCACCATCCAGACTTGATTGCAAGATGGGCAACTATATACATTTGCATAATAAACACATTAAGAAAAATTGTGTGCATTTCATTTTGCAGTAGTTCAGTGACTTCAGATAGCTGAATTGGTTTTTGCCAAGGTTAAGATTAAGTCTGCCAGCTAGCAATTCATTATGTTCACATATCATTTATATGTGATATGTGACTGTATATGCATGCAGTCACATACACATATGCATACATTGCAGCAGGCAGTAATATTCTGATCAAAAATTTAGGGCAACAGGATTACTTTTAAACTTAACTACTAAGTCTAAAATAAATATATTACGAGAGGCCCAGCTGACTCCCCAATAAATAAGGTACTGAACATGCTTGAACAAGATTCCCTACAGCATAAGCATTTCTCAGTTAACAAAACATGTGAGTCTATTTTATCCATGTAAATACTTAGCTGCCTTGAACACAGATATTAAAACTAATCCCCCCAAAAAACAGGAATTCAAACACTTAGCCAAGAGTTCAGTGATTTCATACAATAATTCCCAAAGAGGAGGTAAATTCTAAAACATTCTGGTCTACAAATGGGAGTAAAATAGTTGATTTTTTTAAAATTTGGATTATTATTTTTTTTAATGCCAAGAGTCAGAATATATCTTCTGGCAGAACTCTGAAACAGTATGAATTACACACAATGCAGACACCTTTACAACTCCACATAATATATAATGTGAAAAGCAGATCCTGTGCCTTTACTAATAGTACAAATTTCAGTTAGGTTAGCTAGATGGACTATGAACATGTAAATGATTATATGAAGAGGCCATTCTAGTTATTTAATCATGATTTTTTTTTCATTTTTTGTTATAGTTGTTAATATATCCTAATTTTAAATGCCCAAGTTTTAATGGATTACTACAACAGTTCAAACAAGAAATAAAATCCAAGAACAAGTTGAAAAAATATATGGTAAGAAACAGAAATAAATAAAAAAATAACCATGTTTCTTCTGTTACCTTGAAAGGCATTTATATTGTCAAAAATGTAAACTTAAATTTGTGTTACTGCTATTGTTGTTTGAAGATTTTTCCTTTAGGCCTAGAAGTATAAGCTCCCCCCAAATAAGTAAATAGAGTGACACAAAAGGAAAACAAAATTGTAGTTTCAACTGGGCAAAGTCAAGCTCCCCATTGGCTGCCTTTGGGCACAGAGTCAAAATGGCTGCCATTTAACCCATGTAGTTCTTTTGCTTGCCTGGAAACACAAATATGATCTTGTATATATATAATCGAGACTTATGTCACACCTGGCAAATGAAATCAACTAATATCAATTGTGTGGGAAAAGAACTATTTTGAAAGTTGGGGAAATGGCTAAAACATTTCCTGCCTGAAGGACTTTCTGTTGATTTTTATCTAGATAAATCCATTACTGCTCTTTCATTTACTGGTAATAGGGTGGTAAAGTTTCCATGAAGGGAAGACAGAGTCAAAGGAGGATACAGCAGTTCAAGCAAGGAGATAATTAACATATTTCCATTAGATTCTTTTTATGCTCAAAGAAGCTCCCAGTACAACTTTGTTTATTCAGAGAACAACTTTCTTTATTCACAAGTCTATTCACTATTTACCACCTTCATTTAACTTTTAAAATATTGAATTGTTTACAAGAAAAAAATTGGAAGAATTAAGATCTCCATTCACAATGCCACTGATTTTACCTCACTTCTTTGCTGTCTAAAAGTATGAAAGCTGAGGGACTTTTTTCTTCTTTTTATGTATTTCAAATATTTAATTCTTCAACCAATTCATGAAAAACTAAATTTCATTTTGTTAGAAGCTGCAAAATTCAACCTGAAATGCAGTCTATTGCATCCTCCCAATTCGACAGTTCTCTTTTGTTGTATCCACCCACCTATCTGTACAGAATGAAATTGACAATTGTTTTTCTTTCTGTATGCAGATCCTACTGGATGAGGCAGAGTTTTATAAATATGTGTGTATGTGTATTATGCATAAACACAAATATAGATATCCAAAATTAAATTAAATTAAATGTATATAGACATAGTAAAAGCTCAAAATGCACATATATGGAAGGACAAGAATTTTAAAATTAAAATTCCTCTCTTGCACCACTTTACACCTGCTTTCTTTCATAGGGTTGATTTAGGAAAATGGCTATTAGTTTGCCTAGATTAAGGGATGTTGCTGTTTGTAAACCCAGCAGATTTTTTTGCAATTACTTTTTCTTTTTACAAAACAAAAAGACTGGCCATGTACTATTTAATCTTTTCTCCACTCAAATGAGGTACAAGGGTTCCTTGAACTGGAGAAATGATGAAATGGTACACACCCCTGAACTTAACTGAAATAAGATAGATCTATTCCAACACTGTGATTATGAGAACACTCTAGAAGATATTAATGATCAGGCCCACTATTGACTCACTGGGCATCTTTCCTCTTTGAAGTACCAATGAATTTCTGGAATTAGCCTGTATGGAAATAAAGAGCTCTATTCAAATGTATTGCAACACTCAAGGCAACATAAGGGTAAAACAGTAGAGTTCTTATAGCTTTTTGAACTTGGTTATTTGCTGCAGACATTTCATTACCTGACTAGGTAACATCATAAGTGCTAGTGAGTGTGATGAATGTGTGTTATGAGCTCCTAGTTTATACACCAGTGTTTATGGGAGTGTGGTTTTCTTCCTAGTAGCTTGTAAATAGGATATTTTTTTTCTGTTTGCTGATTTATTTATCTGCATGAATTCTTTGATTGGTGTTATTTTCTGGTTGATTGCTTGTCTGGTGTTAAACTTTACTTATCTGGGTGTTAGCTGCTGGGGAAATATGTTCAGGTCTTTTTGTTTCTCTCTTAGCTTTTTTGTGATATCTTTTAAATTATGTATAAAGATGGTTTATCTCTATGTATCTATTGATGGCTGATTTGTCTGAATGCCAAGCTTCCAGGAATTTTCTAGCAGTTTTGGATTAGTTTGTTCTTGGATGCTCAGTTTCTGAGTTTAAACCACTGGTCACCAACCGGTGGTCCATAGACCACTGGTGGTCCGTGAGAAAATTTTGGTGGTCCACAGAGAAATTTTTGTATTTTTGCAGGTGATGCAATATGGAAAAAGAAGCACAGCCCTCGCCGTCCAGAATGAATAGTACTGTTATGGTGGTGGGGGAGGGGGCGGCAAAAGCAGGAAGAAGAGGCATTTGTGATGGCTGGAAGCTGCGGGAATGAAGCACTACTTTCATTTGCATGGCAACAGTATTCCACCTCGGTATATTTGCACCAGCCAGTGGCACAAGGCTCGTCTCTCAAGGAGCGCTCCCTGAAGCGGTGCTGGAAACTTTGGTCGGGCTCCTCGAGAGATGAGAGCTTGCAGGGGGCCGATCTGATATCTGCAATGGAGAGCAAAATCCGGCTTCTTCTTTCCACTGTAAGTGGGCATCAGGATTCCGCCTTGGTATATTTGCGCGCAAGGCAGCCCTCATTTCCTGCTGCTTGGGACTCGGAGTGGTAAATGGTGACTGGTCTGGGGAGGAGCCGGATTTTGCTCTCCATTGCGGATGCCAGATCGGCCCCCTGCAAGCTTTCGTTTCTCAAGGAGCACTCCCTGAAGCGGTGCTGGAAACTTTGGTTAGGCTCCTCGAGAGACTAGAGCTGGTTCGGCTGCTCCCCGAACCAGACGCTGTTTACCGTTCCAAGTCCCATGCGGCAGGAAACAAGGGCTGCCTTGCGCCGCAAATATACCAAGGTGGAATCCTGATGCCGCACTTACAGTAAGAGAAGAAGCTGGATTTTGCTCTCCATTGCAGACACCAGATCGGCCCCCTGCAAGCTCTTTTCTCTCGAGGAGCCTGACCAAAGTTTCCAGCGCCGCTTCAGGGAGCACTCCTCGAGAGACGAGAGCTTGCAGGGGGCCGATCTGGCATCCGCAATGGAGAGCAAAATCCAGCTGCTCCCCGGACCAGTCACCATTTACCACTCCGAGCCCCAAGTGGCAGAAAATGAGGGCTGCCTTGCACCACCGGCTGGTGCAAATATACAAAGGCGAATGCTCATGCCACGCAAGTTCAAGTAGCGCTTCGCTCCCACACTTCTTCTGGCCCTTGTTGGTGCTCTGCACACCTCGGTCTCTCAGGGAGATGCTTGACTTCCTCTCAGCCCCAAGACACTGGCTGGCTCATGAGATGAGAGAGAGAGAGAGAGAGAGAGAGAGAATCAGAATGAGAAAGAGAGAGAAAGAGACAAGGAATCAAAGAGAGAACGAGAGAGAGAGAGAGAGAGAGAATCAGAATGAGACAGAGAGAGAAAGAGACAAAGAATGAAAGAGAGAGAAAGACAGAATGAAAGAGAGAGAATGAGAGGGAGAACGAGAGAGAGAGAGAAAGAAAGAGAGAGAGAGAATCAGAGAGAGAGTGAGAGAGAGAGAGAGAGAGACAGAGAAAGAGACAGAGAATGAAAGAGGGAGAATCAAAGAGAGAATGAGAGAGAGAGAGACAAAATGAAAGAGAATCAGAGAGAGAATCAGAATCAGAAGGGAGAGAGAGAGAGAAAGAGGGGGGAGAGAAAGAGAGAGAAAGTGGGGGGGAGAGACCGAAAGTGGGGGAGAGAGAATGAGAGAATGAGAGTGGGGGAGAGAGAGAGAGAAAGAGGGGGAGAGTGAAAGAATGAGAGAGAAAGAGAGGGAGAGAGAGAGAATGAGAGAGGGGGAGAGAGAAAGAGAAAGAGAGACGGGGAGAGAGAGAATGAGAGAGGGGGGAGAGAGAAAGAGAGAATGAGAGAGAGAATGGCGGAGAGAGAGAGAGAAAGAGGGGGAGAGAGAAAGAGTGGGAGAGAGAGAGAAAGAGAAAGAGAAGGGGAATGAGAGAGAAAGAGAGAATGAGAGAGAAAGAATGGGAGAGAGAGAAAGAGAGAGGGGGGAGAGAGAAAAAGAGAGAATGAGAGAGAAAGAGTGGGGAGAGAGAGAGAGAGAGAGAGAGGAAGGAGAGTGCCTGAAGGACCCCATCCCGTCACTGGGAGTCCAGGTGCTTCAGCAAGCGGTGTGCTGGATTCGTATTAGTGGTCCACGAAATTTAAAATTATGAACTTAGTGGTCCCTGAGGTCCAAAAGGTTGGGGACCCCTGGTTTAAACTATTATTGAGTTGTTAATCAGTTGTGAGATTAAGGAGCTTTCATTGTACCTTCTGGTTGTTAGTTGTTGTTCCTGAATATGCTTTAAGAATCTTCTGCCTATCTAGTGACTGTTACAATCCTTACACTATGTTTTCTGTTTTCTTCTATATCTATTGGTCTTTTGGATTTTTCAGGATGTTTTGGAGGGCTTTGATTGGTTTATGTGCTATGGCAATACCATGTGGTTGTAAACATTTTTGGTTGCTTCAGAGATGCTTCTGATATATGACAATATTATTCTTTTCATAGTTTCTGTTAGTTATACTATAATACATGGGTGTGAAACTTGCGGCATCATATGACTTTTTGTTATGTTTTTCCCATTCGCAGAACTGGGGTGGGCATGGCTTGCATGTGACACATCTGGCCCGCAGATTGCCAGTTTGACACCCTGCTATAATAGATGGAATGGTCGAGCACATTTTAATAAAGTTGCAGATATCCATTTTGTTGGATAATTTACTTGTTTGTTGTTGGATGATATATTCATTTTTAATTAATTTTTTGTGGATGAATTCATTTATTTATTGGATAGTAAGAAGCTACCAAGGAGAAAAACCACATTTTCATCAACATTGGTAAGGCAAGCTACTGCTATAAAGAGGGAACAAAACCCACATTCACTAGCACTGATGATGTTACCTAGTTGAATAAGGAAACAATCAACATCAGAGGGGACTACAGTTCAAAACCAAACTACAGATATTTTCTTCTGTTAATACTTTATGAAAAAGAAAGTGATGTACTTAATGTGCCTGGAGGTTTTTTACAATCAGTAGTTGATGACTATAAACAGATGATCTTATTGTTTCTGTGATCAGAAAACTATTGCTGGCCCATTTTGGCATGATAGTGACAGGGCATGGTTTAAGCCAGGGGTGTCAAACTTGCGGTGTCATGGCAGCGTCACATGATGTATTGTGACTTTTATCCCCTTTGCCAAACTGGGCGTGGGCATGGCCAGCGTGTGATGCATCCAGCCCACGGGCCATAAGTTTGACAGCCCTGGTTTAACCATAATGCTAGGATAATTTATTACAAAATATTAGAAATTTAAATAAGAAAGGTGCAGTCCTCAGTTAACAGGGAATATTTTCAGGTGGGATCTTTGTAAACTTTTTTTCTCACAGATTATAAACCTTCAGCTCTTCAAGGTCAGTTAGCCTAGGAAAGCAAAGTCATGTAGGGCAAAGCTACTTTTATTGCAAAGATACAGTTAACAGAATCTTGCAAGTCTGAATGCATTTCTTCCTTCCTCCCTTTATCTTCATGAGAATTAGGAAGGATTTTTTCTGAGATGTTTTCTCAGCTTACATTTTTGCCTTGAACTCCGCTCTCTTTTAACTGACTATTGTCTTGTAGTTCTTTCTCCTGTACTTCTAGGCCAGGGCTGTCAAACTCCTGGCCCACGGGCTGGATGTGTCACGTGCTGGCCATGCCCACAGCCAGTTTAGTGAAGGGGAAAAAAGTCCTGATACATCATATGACACTGCCGTGATGACGTGAGTTTGACACTCCTGTTCTAGGCCATTCCTTCTTCCCTTTTAGGCCTGAGGCATTGCCTAAGAAACTAGGATGATATGTCCATCCATTCTTCATTTGTCATATTTTGGTCAACTCTATTTCCTAGATTCCAAGAGTCCCTTCACAGGATCTTGTGTACAATCCCAGTTTTTTAAAAAACAGCAAAATAAATATCAGCCAAGCTACAAAGATAACTTGTCCCATGAGTATATGGTTATATGTATAGATGACTGAATATTGTAGTTTCATCTTTCAGGCACTGATACGAAGACTTGCATACAACCTGGGATATGACAAGCAAAAATTGCTGGATTTTCAAAATCTGTTACTCTGGAAAGCATACGATACTTTAAAAGTTCAGGTACTTTTAAAACATTGTAGTTGTCAACTCGCAAAGCATCCCTGGCCTGCTCTCAAGTTGCCATAGGCAAGGGGGATGGGAAACTGATGAAGCAACACGGCAGCCACAGACAGGAGCACATTCCAGACATATCTTTCTCAAGGCTGTCTCCCAGGGTTACCGACAGTGGCCAGAGGGAAGTGGTCTCCATTGATGAATGTGATTGATAACACACCCTGGGGGGAGGGGGGAAACAGGATCATGATTGGGGCTGTAAATTATTTGGGGTCAGAGTTGGCTTCATTTGGGTATCTGCCGACATGAAGCTCCTAATAAATAACTGGATTTCTTTTGAAGCTTGGCTCAAGGCTTAAAATTTAATTAGGGCATCCATCAGAACCCTGACAGCAGTGCTTTCTCCAGCATCTGTGGGCTGTGATTCATGATTCAAAACTCCATACAATCTGTAATAAGAAATTGAGTGATCAAGTAATTGGCTAACTGCACTGTGAATGAAATAAAGGCAAAACAAATGTGTGTTTCCTTAAATATAATTGAATTCCATCTGGCCAAATTCTGGTCATCTCTGACTGACCGCAATTTGTTTCCAGATATAAAATCATTCAACACATCTGAAATCAGGATATTTAAAATACAACATTCTCATCTCAATTTGTTTACCCATTGTAATCTTTATTATTTCAGTTGCATTATACATTCAATCTATTTTGAAAAAATGAATACAAAAGATATCAGATTATGTTAGTAAATAGTATGGCAAAGATTTCCTGCCTATCTTTTTTGTTGGCATACCTGGATAACTAAGTTCCCATAAAATGTCTGTTTTGGAAATCTAGGTAGTCACTAAGTCAGGCACATGAATCTGACTCTCTAAGCCAAGCCATAGTTTTATCTTATTAAGACAGAACAAATTATGTAGTCCCCACAATGAAACTGTTAATTAGAAAAAAGGTATTTGACTTTGTGTAATCCCTGCAGAACCCCATAAATGCCTACCACTTTCTTGCGAAAATATTCCAAAAATTATCCAAAGATAATTGCTGAATCTTAGAAAGTATTGGAAGTCTCATCACAATATTTTTTTCAAGTGTCACAAAATCTCATCAGATCTTACTTGCCTCATTCCTGGAAATTTTAGCTATTTAAACTAGGGGGAAATGGATCTTTGTGCAATTTGTGAGAAGTTGAGACTATTATATGGGAATGGATCAGTAGATTCAGAGTCTCATTTTTATCTAACAAAATGGATAAAGGTAAGAAAACTACTTCCTACTTCTTAAATTATTTACACACACAAGTAAAGCTATTCCCATACATTAGAAACACATCTCTGGCTTAACATATTTTTTAACACATTTTTAATTTTTTAATTGGTTTGTTATCTTAAATTGGGGCCAAATTAATATATATCCTTTTAATTGTTTTTTAATGTTTGTATTGTATGTTTTTATCTGGCTGTACACCGCCCTGAGTCCCTCGAGAGAAGGTGCGGTATATAAATTCGAAATAAAATAAAATAAAAAATAAATAAAATCTCTATTTCACAAAAACGAAATGCAGGCAGGAAATTTCTATTCCTGAAAAACAAACAGATTCTTTCATTTCACTCAGGGGAAAACATGTACGTATGTTCAAAAAGCCTTATTAAAAGATTTTTAGTTCACTTTTGCTGCCTGTAATATTAATAATGGCAGTGAGGCTTTTTCTACTCAGGAAAGTCTGTCTGTATGCAAAATAATAGAAGACATAGGATTATTACTAAGCATGGCTTGATGTTTTTTGTCTTTCCTTATTACTGTAGGAAATACACAAACATTCTTTACCAAAATGGGCTGATAAAAGGACTATGCAACAGGTGAAATCACTGCTAGAATATTTGATAAATGCAGCTTTTGGGGGACCATTAAAAAATGAGAAATCAAAACTACAAGGAGGCAAGTATTCTTTTAATTGTAGATTTATTTATTTGGCCTGATTTTCAGATTTATGAAAATATAAATATATGTCATAGTAGTAGTCCTTGACATATGAACATATACAAAAAATTATTGTGCATAATTGTTTTTCAAATGTCAATAGATTTCAGAGATCAACTTTCACTTATTGTAAATATTGTGTAAATATTGACCCTATGTAGCTCTTAATGTTTGGCTCAACAAACTAATGATTAACTTATTCTGTGCTGCCTTTTAAATATATATATATATGTGGGGGGGGGCAATAAGCTGACTTTGTATAAATATACAAAAGTATGAAGGCTATTGCTTAACGCATTGTAAGCCGTCCTGAGTCTCTGGAGAATATATAAATCAAACTTTATATATATATATATATATATGTGTGTGTGTGTGTGTGTGTGTGTGTGTGTGTGTGTGTGTGTGTAGGTCTTTGGTTATTCGGGTCTTCTCCCACGTAAAATTGGAAGTGTCTTGGCGACGTTTCGACGAAGTCTCATTCGTCATCTTCAGGCTGGTGTTCTCAGCTTCGTGCTTCCAGGAGCAATGTGAGATCGCAGCTGTCTCTTCCTTTTAACTGCTAGTGGGGGTGTGAGCTGATTGGGTGGGAACTTGGCTGTGTTCTGATTGGGTGGAGGTGTGTTCTGATTGGTTAGGGGCTTGGCTGTGCTCTGATTGGCTGGGAGTGTGTTCTGTTTGGGTGGGGGCTTGGTTGTGCTCAGCTTAGTCTGAGTTGCAGGGGGATTTGAGCTGGTGAGCTGCGTTGTTGTTGTTTGGCTTCGTGTTTGTGGC